CCCCCGCCCCCCTTTCCCCCGCCCCCCTCCCCAACGTCCCGTTGTTCCCTGTCCCCCTCCCCAACGTCCCGTTGTCCCATCACCCCTCCCCAACGTCCCGGTGTCCCCCGTCACCCTCCCCACCGTCCCGGTGTCCCCTCGGCGGTACCGTGAAGGCGCCGGCGGCCGTGGTGATGTAGATGGTGTACTGCTTCTCGCTGACGTCCTCCAGCCCCGCGGCGTCCGGGCCCGGCGCCGGCGCCTCCTCCAGCGCGATGCGCAGCGCCAGGTACTTGGAGAGGTGGTCCACGGTGGCGTTGGCCGTGGTCTTCACGTACCTGCCGGGTGACAACGCGGCGGTGACGACGCGAAGACGGAGTTGACACGGGTTGAGAGAGTGGCCCTGAGATGTAGGGAGGCCTCTGCCATCGAGGTGAAGGTGGGACATCCATGATGGTGAGGGGGGAAGAACAACCCGTCTACCATGAAGAGAAGAGGTGAAGAGAGGAGAAGAACCTGTCCACCATGATGGTGAGGGGTGAAGAACAACCCATCCACCATGAGGACGGGGGGTCAAGAACAACCCGTCTACCATGAGGATGGGAGGTGAAGAACAACCCATCTACCATGAGGATGGGAGGTGAAGAACAACCCGTCTACCATGAAGAGAAGAGGTGAAGAGAGGAGAACAACCCGTCCACCATGAGGACGGGGGTGAAGAACAACCCATCTATCATGAGGATGGGAGGTGAAGAACAACCCGTCTACCATGAAGAGAAGAGGTGAAGAGAGGAGAACAACATGTCCACCATGATGGTGAGGGGTGAACAACCCCTCTACCATGAGGACAGGGAGTGAAGACCATGATGAGGAGAGGTGAAGAGAGAAGAAGAACCCGTCCACCATGATGGTGAGGGGTGAAGAACAGCCAGTCTACCATGAAGACGGGCGTGAAGAACAGCCCGTCTACCATGAAGAGGAGAGGTGAAGAGAGGAGAAGACCAACCTGTCCACCACGATGGTGAGGGATGAAGAACAACCCGTCCACCATGATGGAGTGAGGGATGAAGACCAACTCCTCTACCATGAGGATGGGGACTGAAGAACAAGCCATCCACTATGATGGCAGGGCCGAAAAACAACCCATCTACCATGATGAAGTGAAGAGAGGAGAAGAACAACCCGTGTACCACCATGATGGTGAGGGGTGAAGGCCAACCCGTCCACTATGATGGCAAGGGATGAAGAACAACTCATCTACCATGATGAGGAGAGGTGGAGAGAGGAGAAGACCAACCCGTCCACCACCAGGATGGTGAGGAGGAAGAGGCGTGGGAGGAAGACCAACCCGTCCACCACCATGACGGCGTGGGAGGAAGACCAACCCGTCCACCACCATGACGGCGAGGGGGGAAGACCAACCCGTCCACCATGACGGCGAGGGGGGAAGACCAACCCGTCCACCATGACGACAGGGTTGAAGAACCCGTCCACCATGACGACAGGGTTGAAGAACAACCTGTCCACCATGACGGCAAGGGTGGAAGAACCACCCGTCCACCATGACGACAGGGTTGAAGAACCCGTCCACCACGATGGCAAGGGTGGAAGAAGAACCCGTCCACCATGACAACAGGGTTGAAGAAGAACCTGTCCACCATGACGACAGGGTGGAAGACCAACCCATCCACCATGACGACACGGGTGAAGAACCCGTCCACCACAATGGCTCCCAACCATCCCCAGATGCCACCTCCCGTTCATCCCCAACACCCCGGTGCCACGTTGGGGACACGGGGACACCCCCAGCCCCTCACCTGGTCTGCGAGTACTCCCCCTTCTCCACCAACAACGGCATGAAGAACCTCATGAAGAACCTCATGAAGAACCTCATGAAGAACCTCATGAAGAACCTCATGAAGAACCTCATGAAGAACCTCATGAAGAACCTCATGAAGAACCTCATGAAGAACCTCATGAAGAACCTCATGAAGAACCTCATGAAGAACCTCATGAAGAACCTCATGAAGAACCTCATGAAGAACCTCATGAAGAACCTCATGAAGAACCTCATGAAGAACCTCATGAAGAACCTCATGAAGAACCTCATGAAGAACCTCATGAAGAACCTCATGAAGAACCTCATGAAGAACCTCATGAAGAACCTCATGAAGAACCTCATGAAGAACCTCATGAAGAACCTCATGAAGAACCTCATGAAGAACCTCATGAAGAACCTCATGAAGAACCTCATGAAGAACCTCATGAAGAACCTCATGAAGAACCTCATGAAGAACCTCATGAAGAACCTCATGAAGAACCTCATGAAGAACCTCATGAAGAACCTCATGAAGAACCTCATGAAGAACCTCATGAAGAACCTCATGAAGAACCTCATGAAGAACCTCATGAAGAACCTCATGAAGAACCTCATGAAGAACCTCATGAAGAACCTCATGAAGAACCTCATGAAGAACCTCATGAAGAACCTCATGAAGAACCTCATGAAGAACCTCATGAAGAACCTCATGAAGAACCTCATGAAGAACCTCATGAAGAACCTCATGAAGAACCTCATGAAGAACCTCATGAAGAACCTCATGAAGAACCTCATGAAGAACCTCATGAAGAACCTCATGAAGAACCTCATGAAGAACCTCATGAAGAACCTCATGAAGAACCTCATGAAGAACCTCATGAAGAACCTCATGAAGAACCTCATGAAGAACCTCATGAAGAACCTCATGAAGAACCTCATGAAGAACCTCATGAAGAACCTCATGAAGAACCTCATGAAGAACCTCATGAAGAACCTCATGAAGAACCTCATGAAGAACCTCATGAAGAACCTCATGAAGAACCTCATGAAGAACCTCATGAAGAACCTCATGAAGAACCTCATGAAGAACCTCATGAAGAACCTCATGAAGAACCTCATGAAGAACCTCATGAAGAACCTCATGAAGAACCTCATGAAGAACCTCATGAAGAACCTCATGAAGAACCTCATGAAGAACCTCATGAAGAACCTCATGAAGAACCTCATGAAGAACCTCATGAAGAACCTCATGAAGAACCTCATGAAGAACCTCATGAAGAACCTCATGAAGAACCTCATGAAGAACCTCATGAAGAACCTCATGAAGAACCTCATGAAGAACCTCATGAAGAACCTCACCACTCAACTGTCAACCCAACTAGATCCCTCTCAACAAACGCCATCATGTTGTCCTCGCGGTGACAAGGAGGCCACCCCACCTGTGCATGGCTTGTTGGTTGTGCTGGAGACCATGTTCATGAAGAACCTCACCAGGAACCTCACGAGGAACCTCACCAGGAACCTCATGAAGTTCCTCAGCACTCAATTCTCAACCCAACTAGGTCTCTCCCAACCAATGCCTTGTCCTCATGGTGACAAGCAGGCCACCCCACCTGTGCATGGCCTGTGGGTTGTGCTGGAAACCAAGTTCATGAAGAACCTCATGAGAAACCTCAGCAGAAATCTCATGAAGAACCTTCACGAGGAACCTTCACGAGGAACCTTCACGAGGAACCTCAGCACTCAACTCTCAACCCAACGAGGTCCCTCCCAACCAACGCGTTGTCCTCGCGGTGACAAGGAGGCCACCCCACCTGTGCATGGCTTGTTGTTTGTGCTGGTGACCAAATTCATGAAGAACCTCACGAGGTTCCTCACGAGGTTCCTCAGCACTCAACCCAACTAGGTCCCTCCCAACCAACGCGTTGTCCTCACGGTGACAAGGAGGCCACCCCTACCTGTGCATGGCCTGTTGGTTGTACTGTAGGCCAAGTTCATGAAGAACCTCACGAGGTTCCTCACGAGGTTCCTCAGCACTCAACCCAACTAGGTCCCTCCCAACCAACGCGTTGTCCTCACGGTGACAAGGAGGCCACCCCACCTGTGCATGGCCTGCATCTTGAGGCCCTCCTCGATGCTGCTGCTGAGCGCCTGCTGGTTGTGCAGCCGGCTGAGCTTGGCCAACACGCGGTCCTGATGGGCCTCGTACTCGTCGCGACTCGGGTAGATCTTGGAGATGAGCGCGTCGAAGTTGGGGTCGGGCCGCAGCGACCGCTTGGACACCAGCTTCTTCCGGCACGTGGGGCACTCCTTGTTCCTACGGAGGGGACAACGCGACGGGAGGTGTCACCCGGGGCCGCGCGCCCGGCGTGGCGGCGTCCCCGGGCCGCACGCACCCGCTGCGCAGCGCGGTGACGATACAGTCGGAGCAGAAGCGGTGCAGACACTCCTTGGTGGTCATGGTGTTCTTGAGCATGTCCAGGCAGATGGGGCACATGAGCTCGCTGTGGAGGCTGCGGGGGGACACGGCGATCTCCGTGCCGTCCATGATGGCCTCCTGTGGGGACACGGGGGACACGGTGACACCAGGGGACACGGTGACACCAGGGCACATGGTGACGGCCACCACTGCCCTCTCATCCCATGAGAGATGGCTGGGGTGGCTGGTTTCACCCCAACCTTGTGGGTGACATTAGGTTGTCCCCACCCTGGGGACACCCCCCTCTACCTGTCACCCAACAGGGGGTCTTGGGGTGGGGACAATGTCCCCAACACAGGAACTGGCTTCACCCGAACCTTGAGGGTGACATTAGGTTGTCCCCACCCTGGGGACACCCCCCTCTACCTGTCACCCAACAGGGGGTCTTGGGGTAGGGACAATGTCCCCAACACAGGGACATCAACCCCCTTGGCTTCACCTCAACCTTGGGGGTGACATTAGGTTGTCCCCACCATGGGGACACCCCCTTCTGTCACCCAACGGAGGGTCTTGGGATGGGGACAATGTCCCCAACACAGGAACTGGCTTCACCTGAACCTTGGGGGTGACATTAGGTTGTCCCCATCATGGAGACACCCTGTCACCCAACAGGGGGTCTTAGGGAGAAGACAATGTCCCCAACACAGGGACTGGCTTCACCCGAACCTTGAGGGTGACATTAGGTTGTCCCCAACACGGGGACACCCCCCTCTGTCACCCAACAAGGGGTCTTAGGCTGGGGACAATGTCCCCCACACAGGAACTGGCTTCACCCGAACCGT